CCGTATTTACCCGAATATAGGACAAGTTTTTTTTCCTGTGAAAATGTGGGGTCGTCTTATAATTGGGGTCTAACCAATTATACAGCCTGACTGTTGCCTGCTGTCGCTACACAAATGGAACAGTAGAGGGCGCCAGTTTTTGTAAAGGCAGTGACCTCACTGTGGCTGAGGCCATCTTTCCATCACCAAAGAAAAGGAAAGGACGCTACAAAGGAGAGCCGCTCCCTAGAATGTTTCGGATCAAAATTTTGACAAGTTTGTAGAGATTTAAGGCGGAGTTCTGAAGACAATTTAAAAATTACTTTTTATTTAATTGCACAATTCTTTCAATCCAATATTATTTCAATTAAATTGTTAGTAGTTTAATATAAAATATTTTTTAAACCAAGTAAGTTTAGTTTATTAGTCTTTATTTCTTTCTCTTTGGTCTTTTTGTTTTATTCCTAAAAACTAGTCCTGAAAAGAAGGGGTCGTCTTATAATCTAGGTTGTCCTATATTCAGGTCAGTACTGTAATAAAACTAGTGTTTTAGTATAGAACAATATAAATTGAATAAAATTAATAAAATGAGACAAGGTAGAAAATCTGATAAAATCAATAATAAGAGGATAAAAGGACAAAAAATAAAAGATAGTATTTTTATTAATTGAGAAAAACAGATGCAGTTTTAGTATTAAACTCCATGCTTATAACTTGTAAACTAACCAGACAGAAACACAGAAATCTTTGTGTTTTTGACATAAAAAGCAGTTTATCGTCAGCATAAAGAGAAATGTTGTTTAGTGTGACCTCTTTGAAAGCCGTGTGCATTCTATTAACATCAAATAGATATTTTATATTATTTAATACTTGTGAAGTTAATGCTCGATGTATAGAATAAATGAAAATAAAAGAAATGCTTTAAAAAAAAATAAATAAATAAGCCAGATACAAACAGAATCCAGAGTGAACATCTTTTGAAGAGGACTATAAAAATATTTCTTGTTTCGGACTCATTTGGGGTTGAAAACCTGATTCTAACGACAAATCCAGACCTATAGAACCAGAATGTGCTGTAAATATTTCTCTTATGCCCGCTGGTTGAGGCACTAGAGATGGCTAGTCGCAGAGTTATTCAATAATCCAAACAGATAAGCTGCACACTTTTATCCTATCAATCAATTTTTCCTGTTTTTTATTATAAAAATTACCCAAAGCCGTGTGATATATTCTTTTAGGTCAATGGCATGCAGTAAAGTTTTATTTATCTAATTCTATTTCTTATACCTGGTGTTTTAAGTGTTCAGCAGAAATGGTTTCTGTCTTTAAATAATTATGCAGACTGAGTTAGTTGGACATAAATTTAATTTCTTAGTATGTTAAATAAGGTTTATAAATTCAGAGTATTTATCTTTATTTTATTACTTGCCTATACAGCAGAAATTAAAAATCACAGCTTTAAATGTCTTGACTCTCCTGTCTGATAGGTGTTCTTCGCCTCCGTACGTCAAGGCGGTGCCAGCCAGGTGTATTTCATGACTCTGGGACGCACCTCCCTAATGAGCTGGTAGCCAACGCCACGGCAACCGACGACGACCGTAACCTACAACAGAGAGAGTAACACTCCTGAGCCTGACCTGGTGGAGCACCTCATCCTCGGGGAAACCAGCCTGTTTGGACTGTTTATGAAAATGAGGCAGGGAATGGATGGAGGCATGTTAGGTTTGTCCCCCCCTCCCTCCCCTCTTTAGGTCTGTAGTCACCTTGCTGCCCTCCCCTCGTCGTCCTCTGGGGGGGAGTGGTAGTTGTTGATTTTTGTGTCACGGTAAAGCTTTGCATCTTGTATGTAATTAAAGCGTGTTTCGTCTTGAAGGGACGACAAAAGGCTGTACGCAGCTGACGCTGTATCAAAATAAGAAAACTTGATGTGCCAGAACTCTGTGTAGCTTTCCTTGAATTTAAAAGATCTCTCCCCGTCAAGCATGTCTTTGAAACGACTCCAGTTTCTCCCCCTGATCTCGGTGCTTGACGTGCGAATCTGCGTCTTCACTTTGATGGCCTTAAAGTGAAGAACTCCTATAAGGACCTTCTTGATTTTTATCAGTTTAACACAGGGTACTGGAAAGCAGCTTGTATATACTAACTAACTAACTACAGACTTGCGCAGGTTTTCCAGTCACTTTGACCACTTTGCCTCATCGTGCTGTAACTTATGTTTGACAGAATCCCTCTTGATGACGTCTTGATGCAGAATTACCCCGTTTTTTTTAAACACTGTATATTTTGTATGTGACTTGCTGCATATAAATAAACATCAACAAAGCAGGACGCATCAGATGAGCTGTAAAGGAAAAAAAACTATTTATCCTTCAATCTGTCATATTCTTAGGGCTCTAACTTTCATCAACCGTTTGTCAACTCTGCCGTCGTTGGGTTCTGTATTTTTTTTTCTACTGGAAATATAAAAACATACAAAAGCAAAACACATCCAGAAATGTGAGAAACATTTTTATTTTACTATATTAGTTCCATGCAGGGCTAAGGGTTAAGCTGTGAATTAAACACGCAGAATTGGTGGCAAGACGGGCTGAAAAAAAGGGAATAAGGATCGGCTCGTCGCCCATCTGCACAATCGGGTCATTTCACCCGTTTCTGGCTTCATCTGTAGCTTAATGGTTGCCTTAGAAGGATTAGAATTTGAACCCTGTAGACATTTGGATGTTGTGTACCGCTGGATCACTCTAAACCAGCCACGTCGCCTCATCTCGGACCTCTTTTAAATGACGCTCGGTTGATCGTTTACATAATCCTGTCCAGATGAAAAGGCATCCGACCCGAACTGAAGGACTTTCCGTATCCAAAGCCCGCTCTTCACTTCCCTTTCCACAGTTCAGAGTTTGTCCTTGTGCTCAGATGTCTCGGAGATGCCTTCAGGTGTTTATTAGCGGGACAGGATCAAAGTTAGGTGCTTTATTTTGTAGTCTTTACCCGATAAATCACTCTTTCTCACAGCAGTGTTACAGAACCACTTAGAATCATTTTTTACTTTTGTGTCAGCGATTTATCTCAGATAATTATACGACTGCAGTGGGTTGTTTTTTTTATTGTAATGCACACCTTATGTTGAAAATGTTTACAAAAGCAGTTTTTTTTTTAACCAGTGTGCGTCAATTTGAGTATTTATGGTTTATTTTTAGGGTAGATCTCCCTCTGTTTTGTATTTTGTAACCCTCTTTTTTTTTGTATTATCATTTAGACGTTTCTGTGCAGGGATAATCAATTGTTCAACAAGTCCACAGTGTCATTTCCAATCGATTCCTCCTCTGCAGCGCACAGTAGGCTGCTGGCTGTGTAGCGGAAGACGTTTTCCACTATCCGGGTGACGTGTTTTCCCCTTAAACGTCACTCTGGCGTGCCTCTAATTTATGTCCTCTTTGTGTGCTATGGGGATTACTGTGTTTTACTGAGAATTTTTGATTTTTTTTTTTCCTCCATTGAATAAAATCAAGTGATTTACAAAGCTGTGTCTGTATTTATCATAAAACATAACATCTGTATTTCTATAACTTGAATCATGTAGGTTTTCTTTTCAAGTTGCAAAGTGAAACAGTTTACACCTAAATTGTACTCAAAACAACCTTAACCCTCGACTTTGAGCTTGCGGTGTTAACTTTCATTAAAAAAGCGGTGGTAGTATAATTGGTTTGGGTCTTGTTTCCCTATCCGTATTTGGGCATATTTTACCTATTATTCTATGCATAATTATAAAGTCTTATTGGAAAATTCCTTGAGAATTTTTCCACTAAACATTTTTAAAAAGTAAGCTAATCCTAAAATTCACTGAAAAAGAAAATTTCAAATTCAAGATTTAATTGAATTTGAATTTAATCTAATAACTGATACCCTTATCATTTTATTGTTTTGAATACCCTTAAAAACTTTTCACTGACAAAATTAGTTTGGTAACTTCATTAAAATTTGAACTTCATAGCCAGGTGTATCCAATCGTGAGAAAATGTTTTTAAGATGGCCAGATGCAAGTTGTTCTTTTTGAATCTCCTCTGAAGATTCATCATGGGCACCTAAAAACAACTCACAAATGATCTGAAAACAAAGATTGTTCAACATTGTTGTTCAGGGGAAGGATACAAAAAGTTGTTTCAGTAATTTAAACTGTCAGTTTCCACTGTGAGGAACATAGGAAGGGAATGGACAGGCCAAGAAAAATATCAGAGAGGCAGAGAAGAAGAATGGTGAGGATGATCAAGGACAACCCACAGACCACCTCCAAAGACCTGCAGCATCATCTTGCTGCAGATGGTGTCACTGTGCATCGTTCAACAATTCAGCGCGCTTTGCAGCTGCATGGGAGAGTGATGCAACGGAAGCCTTTTCTGCAAGCAGGCCAAAAACAGAATCACTTGGTGCACATTTGGACAAGCCAGCTTCATTTTGGAATATGGTCCTGTGGACTAATAAAAAAAGATAAGAGTTGTTTGGTAATAAAAAATGCGTTATGCATGGCGGCAAAAAAAACGCGGCGTTCTAAGAAAAACACTTGCTACCCACTGTAAAATACGGTGGAGGTTCCATCATGCTTTGGGGCTGCGTTGCCAATGCTGGCACTGGAAATCATATTAAAGATGACAGTCGCATGGATTCCACTCAAGATCAGCAGATTCATGAGAATAAAGTTCAAGAATCAGTTACGAAGTTGAAGTTAACGCCGGGGATGGATATTCGAGCAGGACAATGATCCAAAACACAGCTCCATATTTACTCAGGCATTCATGCAGAGGAATAATTACAATGTTCTGGAATGGCCATTCCAATCCCCCAACCTGAATAACATCTGAAGAGTAGAGTACAGTAGCAAAGCAATATGTACACATAAAAAAAGAAAATACCAGCTAAGGATGTACACATAGACTATTTACACATTCATAACATCTCTAATAAAAAACCAAAACAGAACACTAAAACAACAATCAGAACACACATTTACTGCAGGCTCCCCATTCCTCTGTGTACAGATCAATCTAATATTTCCATCTAAATGTTTGATGGAGGTGGGTATGAAAGAGTATTTAAAACGGTTCAGTTTGTTTTTTTGGGATTCTGAACCATCTCTGATTTGGACTGTGTGGAGAGACTGCCGAACACACCGTCATCCCATACCTGATGACACTCCCTCGCTGCCTGATTTTTTTTCCCCCTTTGTGAATGGGAAGATGTTAACATGCCCTTGACCAGATTTGATTAGAGTTTGATTTATAAGTTAACTCCGCTGCTTGTGAGCTGAAGATGGTGCTGCTGTGATTGGCTAAAAAATAGACATGGAAGGCAGCTACCCAATCAGCTCGAAGAATTGTACTGAATTTCCCTCCCTTTTGTGAACGCTTTCTACATGAGGCTTTCCAGATCAATTTGTATAGTCCAATTTGAACTCTACACTGTATCAATCTGGTCTATAAGATGTTGCCTACTGTTGTCATCCCAAGTATAATTAATTTATTTCAGTTTAGTCATAAATATATTAATGACTGGAGTCAGTGGAGGAAGTAGCTGAGAGGAGGATGCTGTCCAAGCTTACATCCATCATGGACAACACCTTCTGCACAAGACTGTAGAGGAGCTGAGCAGCTCCTTTAGTGAAAGACTTACACCCTCTTTATAAAAAGGAGCGCTACTGCAGGTCATTCATCCCTGCTGCAACCAGACTTTACAATGCAATAACTAACTAACAATAACTATTTAATACCCTGTGCAATAACTATATATGAATATCTCTATATATATATATATATATATATAATAGCCTTGTCTTAATATTTTGTAGCTTTTTTTATTTGACCACAAGAGGGCGCCATTGTACTTTTTTTTTTTTTTTTTTTTTTTTTTTACAGCAAGATGGTAAATCAGGTTAGCTACTTTATGCCTTTGCTTTCCGGTTGGTATTTTTAGTTCTAAAAATGGAAGCCCCGCACTTTTTGATTTAGTAGAGTATATCAAACATTTGGTGTATAAAACGATTCAACCCTATATTAACGATAATTGAACAATAACTGTCAACTTCTCCGTCGTTGATGTAAAAAAAAAAAAACGAATTTTCAGGTTTTATTTTGAAAATCCAGAACGGAAATAATTTCCGTCAGCTTGACGGAGGTTGGTTGGGTCACGCTGCAGCCCCAGCCGGATGTTTTGTTGAGTCCAACCCTCGTCGAAGATGGGAGGATTCGGTGGTTTTACCTCCGAGCTACCTCAGCTACGTACCTGACCGGGTAAGTGGCCGAATTAGGCGGGAGCCGAGCGGGTGTGTTATCCGGAGGAGCTGCGTGGTGAAGCGGCTGGGAGCTGGAAGGGAGGTCGTGACGGTGTTGGGTTTCTGCGGTGGCCGTGCGCGCTGCTGCGCGCTCCCTCCCCAGAAACCTCTCGTTTCTGGATAGTGGAGGACATCCTGGGGAGGGAGGCTGAGGGGCTGCATCTATTTAAACTGCATATTGCTAAATAAATAAAGCGATGAGGCAGAGAGGATGATAGGGAGAGAGGAGGCCAAGCTTCCACCTGTGGGGGTTATAGGAGGCATCCACCTGTTTGGTGTATATATATATATATATATATATATATATATATATATATATATATATATATATATATATATAAACCGTTAAATTAAGCCCTTGAAAGATAGTAGTTACAGTGATTGAAATTGGAGCTTTTAGTGCTGCTTTCTGTGCACCATTCAGTGTTTAGGAAGCTCATAACAAAAGATTTCATTCTGCTGCTTGATGCATGCATGTTAGGATTTGCTTAAACCTATAGCCTCATATTCATAAAGTGTATTTTTATCTCTGCTAATTTGACTTCTAGGCCACTTTTAAAGATTTGAATATTTACAAGTTCCACATAATAAAATATTGTGCAAGATGTGAGCCAATTCAAAGCCTCTCAGAAATAGCACATTTAACTTGTTTAACTATATATATATATATATATATATATATATAATTGGAAAAAAAAATTAATTGTTAAAATGTTAAAGGCTGAAACAATTAATCTGATTCATCGATTATTGAAATAATTGTCAACTAACTTCAACTTAGACTTATTTTTTTTAAATTTTGGACACACAAGTATAAACAAAAAGAAATTTAGTTGAGAACAGCTCTCTATGCAATTTCATTTTTTTAAAGTGCAGCCTTAAAAAAAGGAAAAAAATGCATAACTAATTTATAAATACATTAAAATTACATTTCTTTAAATACATTTTTAATTAAATTAAAATAAATACATAAAATGTATACATTAAAACTAATTTAGTACTCGATTAATGGTTGACTGGAGCATAGAGACTCTAAAAAGTGCATTTAGCTGTCAGAGCGACCCACTTAGAGCATTAATTAAACAAAAATTAAAATAAATAAAATTCAAAAAATAGATAAAAAAAAAAATATCTGTTAGTATCCTCTATCCAGAACTCTTTAGGGGGAAAAGTTTGAGTTTCACCTGGTTTAATTTTGAAAAAAAAAGTTTTCTTTAAGACTGCAATTCTGTTGATTAATCGAATTGCTAAATAATTGTTGCAGAACTTAAAATGTTTTAAATTGTGTTCATATTTGGGGAAACCTCTGCCTCCATCTGGGCTCATTAATAAAAGCAAAGGTCCTGCAGCAGTCGCTGGGGGAGCAGCACACCTGTTGGTCAGGACAGATGGCCTGAGCCTCTCCTGCTCCGACCAACTGTTTGCACAAAGCTGGTGGGTCGCTGCATCCTGCTCTTCCTTATCTGACACTTTGAGCAGATTTGGGAAGACATTTGATCGGGAAAAGGTCATGCGTTTAAAGTCAGTGCTTTGTTGCATGATTTATGGTTATATAGTTGACGAAATGACAAACATGACTGTAGGACTTCAGGTGTGGTTTGTGGACTTCAAAGAATGCTGCTCAGTTTGTGACACTGGAAAAAAGGTCCTCACTTAGCTGAACTGAACCCAGCTGAACTTAGCTGAAAGTACCAGGTTCTTTCTAAAGGAAAGCATTTAAAGCATTTAAATCATGATCTATTTGAAAAACAAAAGGAAAAAAAACCTCCAAAACAATCTCATCAAGCTGCTAGATATCAGCCAAGAGGAGAGATTTCTATTCTTTACAAATCGTCTTGTAGAGATGCACCGATCTAATACTTACACTAGTACCCTGCATGGGATAGTATCTATATCTATACTTTTTTTTTTTTTTTAGATATCACGCACAACAATAGTTACAGCGATCTACAGCAAGTTTCACTCGGCTACTATATTTAATATTAAAATATCTGTTTGCAGTGCACTTTTTTTTCTATTTGACCTATTTGACCTTTATTTAAGGTCAAATATGTCCCTTTTTCAAGGGAGTCCTGGCCAAGAGGCAGCAAAGTTCCATAATAAACAGAGATATGTTAAATTAAATGACAGGTACATGAAAAAACATATCAAGTGAAACAATTACAGATAATTGAGGCTGCTTCAAATTCTTTTACTTTCAACTTAAAAG